TGCAAAAGTGCTCTTGAAAGCAGAACTTGTTAATAGTTCACTAATTGGCATAGGAACATGATGAAAACAGACAAGTACTTAGGAATAAGGAGGAAGATTTACATTTGGAAGCAGCAGAAGTGATGACACACTGCCCTCAGCCACTTCTACTTGTTCAAAGATCTCCAGCTTTGACATTTGGGAGGTATTACAGAATACCCAGAAGGAACATGCTGTGCTGCTTTACAAGATACAGGTACCTATGACCCACAAATCAGAGGCTTAAATATGCAGAGCATAATGCGTATTGGTTTTATTGTTAATGGGCCGAGAGGCTCTGCATCAGAACATGACAAAAAAAAAGAAAGTTGCAAGAGATGTGACATCCAGAGACATCTCAAGTTGATCTGACAATTCGTACTTGCCAGGAAATTAATGGAAAATCCCCTCTTCTGAAGGAAAATATACTTTGTCTGAAGATTTCCTCCATTCCTCAGTGCCCCATCCAATCCTCTTCCTCTGAAAGGAGGGCTAACACAATGAAAAGAGCAGGTGACACCATTTCCCTGAAAGTCATAACTTGGTAGTTTAACACTTAAGAGTGTGACTGCCCCAAAGCCAAAATGGCAGCAGAGGTGTAAACTGTAGCAGCAGCACAGAGCCAGAAAAGAACCAACAAAAAAGTGCAAGGAAGGAGACTCTGCAAGTGGTTTAGGTAAATCATCTGGATTTCCTACCTGCAGAATGACAAAAACCCAGGATTTAATATAAAAGAAAAGTTGTAAAAGATTAAATATTTTCTCTGATCAATGTGCAAAAAATTTACTGCCTAGGTATCATTGAAATTGCCATCTCAAGACTTGTTGTGGGTAATTACATTCAACCACTGTATGAAGCTGAAAAAAGAATAAAATGTGGGAAATAAACTTTGCTAATATTTTAGTGCATATTTCAGCATAACCATAACAATCAAATTGTCATTCATTCTTAATAAATATCTAGTGGTGAATTAAGAGATTTGCTTTTTGCAATTAGCAAGGGAAAAAAAATTCTGATACTTTTTGCTTCTCTCTTCCATGCAATCAATGTCCTTGTTCATAGTACAGAAAAATTTTACTTCAATGAAATTTCACTGAAAAAAGAGTTATAGGTAAATTTACTAAACTGGATAGTCTTTTGTCTAGGTTATGAATTCAGAGAGCTAGATAAAGAAACTACTACCAAATGCCTCACTGGCTCTTGTGTTTCAAAAGATTAACCGTTCAGAAATCAATTTTTAAAGTGAAAGGAGTCGAATGAACTTGGTGACATTGCTCATCTCCTTCATTATTTTCCCACTTGTTATCTAATGTATTGTAGAAAGCACTGCAGAGGAAAGCAATTTTAGGTTTTGTCCTGATCGTGCCTTGTTCAACCATGACAATTCAGCAATTTGCACAAAAGGAAGTAGAGGAGAAATTCTGGTTTATATAAAATTTTAGAAATATCAGCTTTGTCACTGGTACTGTGACACATTTGCATCCGCAGTTATTTTTCCATTCTGTCAGTAGAGGAATGAGTTTTGCTCCTACTGGTCAGAATAAATGACTTTCCACAAGAGATCACCTCTTTCCACAATGTCCAGGCTGATTATACAAAAAGTGGTGCAATGTCAGCAGACCAGATAGAAACCGCATTTTGTCCTCTGTTAATCACAAAACATACTCAAAATCTCCACTGACTTCCTTGTCACTTTGCCACTGTATGCATGAGAGCAGAAAGGAAAAAAAATCATCAGTAAGAAGAATATACTGTAGGGTGTAATCAGGGAAGCATGAGAAGTCTTTTTAAGTGACATAAAAGGCAATTATTAGGAGGAAGGAACACAGAAAATTGTGCTACTCCCAAGTACATACAGTCCGGTAACAGAAGTGCTGATGTCTCACTATGTCTTATTAAGTCATCACAAATCACTGTACCGAGTAACAACACAAGAAACATTGGGTTCACCTCACTTTTGTGACTGCAGTATGCTGTTCTCAGGCTGCTCTGCCCCAGGAAAAAACCATGTGGGTATTGTACAGTAAAGCTGCCAAGCAGAGAATCAACTAGCAGAACTTTTTAGAGTACATCTGGTGAGTTATTCAAATTCAGTCCAGATACTAACAGAACAGCAAAGAAACACTGCATTTAAACCCACAGTGCACATTATTTATTAATTATATATTTGCAGACGTCAATAAGCTTTGTGTGTATGCAACTTACCTTCTGAAATTAGGCAGAGATATTCAGGTATAGCAAATGCTCTGTTATTCACGTCCAGCAGATAAAAGCTACTTCACACTGTTGGAAGATGATGACTCCAGCATAACAGTTCTAATTACAAAGTCCAAAGCTAATACAGCTGAGCCCTACCTCTCTTCAGTAGTCCATTGCAAATTATTTTGGAACAGGACATGGGTTTTTGTTTCATATGAATCAATCCTACATTTCTATTACCCCCTTGTGATACAGAATACACAAGCTGTCCTGCTTTGTGGGAGATGAAACAAAGTGAGAAGTCACAACTTTAAAGTTTTTCCCAGGCTTTCCACATATGTTAGTTCCGAGGGAGCACTCAACATTGCAAAGGCATATACAACTCAGAGTACAGTCTGTGAAACACTGTATTTGGAAATGGAGTTTTCTCGTGCATAGTGCAAACACATCACTCATATGCCATGAGATATAACTAATAACTATGATGACAAAACATTAGAAGATAACCCCACAAAGCAGAACATTTACATAGGTATAATTTACAGCAGAATTTAGTCTCAGGAATGTCACTAACCTAGACATTGAGCATAACATCTGTCTTCTGTGGCAATCAGACTTCTACACAAGAAATACAATTCTCATAAAGTATCCTACTGACATACATTGAATAAACAGGCTGTACTGTTTATTCAATGACCTTCAAAAAGCATCATTTGCATGCACATGATAAACTGAAAGAGTCAAGTCGTAATTTACTTAGTCATGGTCATATGTTATGTTACTAGAGCTTACTGGGGTCTCATCAACAAAACAATCATTTGTCTGAAAAACACTGCCCATATTTCAAATATAGAAGTTATGACAAAACCTATTATTGTGGAAGGACTTTCAGGTTCTCATTTCTACTTGACTTAGAAAAGGGATCTCAAACAGGGTCTCAGTTCAAAGTGCAAGGAGGATGGTTACTCAGACATTCAGTTCTAATTCAGTTCTAACTTCTAGCAAGAAATATTTAATATTGGTCTCTCTTTCCTTTATGATATTCAGTTTAAAAGGTCTAAACTTGGTCACATGGGAAAAATCACTTCCTTATGCTCTACCCTACATTATCCACTCAGTGGAGAGCTACTTTTGATGATACTCGAAGATCTACCAGATTTGAAAATCCTCGAGTTTCAGATAATCCCCCAAAATAGCTGCACTTTGAAAGAAAGAACAAGATAGTCAATCAGCTATTTTCTGACTGCAAATGGGTGCAGCTACACATGACACAGGGATACTTTTAAGGAGGAAATAAGAAATATGCTGCTATGCTGCTAGTTTGAGCCTCTCCAGAATATAAATGCTGAAGCATAATTGAAGCTCTTTGATACTAATTTCAGCATTGCTTAATTACTAATGCTTTCATTATCATGGATTAAAGTGGAAAAATGAACTGCAGAAAAACACTTTCTATCATTAGCAAACTTGTTGTGCTAATAATAACGATAACACAATTTCTCCTTAACCAAAGATAGCAATGACATTAGATTGTGTTTATTTGATTTTATAAAGAATGCATTTTTGGATAACCATATTGCACCTTTAATCAATTAGGAAATCAATCTTTCTTTATGCATTTCCACAGCTCCTACTGACAGTAGTAGTATTTTTCCCTAAACCTGAATACCAAACAGTGCCAAAACCTGTAGTCCTGCCACTTAAAGACAAAATTAATTATGTTATTCAATGTTATGGGGACGTTGTTTGTTTTATTGTTTTATTTTTATGGAAATGAGCAACACCTCAAAAACAGAAAAGCGCTCACATCCAACATACTTTGGCAACATATCAATGTTATTCCCCACTCTTAACCCAGGACAAAGCACAGATTATAATAATAATAATATGAAGTTCTATCTAACGATTATTGTTTTGCATATCCTTCTTCAGGTGGGGCAGGAAGCAACTCATGGCACAAAGTATTGAGCAACATGTGTGATCTGGAGAAAGTAAGTCTGAAAGTCCTAAGTACATGATATTAAGACAATCATTTTTCTGACAGAAACAGATAGAACAATGCAGTACAGTTCTACACATGGTACAGCAACGTTGAGTACTACCTGTTATGAAACTAAGAAAATTACAACATAGTAATCTGTATTTTCTTGTCAGGGACCATCATTTGCGTCTACTATCTAATCTGCTTTAATACACAAAACCACAAATGTGTTTTTCTTTGAGGTGCACAATTCATTCTGATGATAGGAAAATAATGTCACCTACTGCAAAATGCTCAAAGCTGCCAATGAAGTCAATTACAATCAAAATAACCTTTGTTCCATCTCTGTTTGATTTCGGTCAAGCTAAAGTGAAATGAATTTGGGAATGTATTTGTTCTGTGTAATGTATTTGTTTCAATTTATTTCACAGCCACCTTACATTCATTAAAAGCAAACACACCCCTAACAAGTATAACCTTTCTAGTAGACTGAAATATGGAATATCACTGATTATGCTGAAAACCATCAAAATGCAAATGAAATGAGAAAGAATATGAATAAACATCATCATGTAAACAAAATATAAAACAGAACACAGATAGCACACATTTACCTATTTGCCAGATGCTCATGCTAGGGATGACCTCAAGCACTCTGAAGTCACCAAAAGCCTTTGCCTTAACTTCAAAGAATTTGTTACCTGAATAAAAAGCATTTAAACTCATATATATTGATGTTAGTGCACATTGTTGCAATTCTCAGATTAAAACATGGCAAAGGTACATATATTATAATGCTTACCATTATCACTTTTGAGATTTCCATTGCTTAGCTGTTTTAACCTCTTCTGATGGGATTTGCCATTGTAGTGGATTTGTGCCTGAGCAGCAGAGTTCAGCTGAATGTTACAAACACTACACAAAGTGAAATTGGTGTGTTTCTTTTCTCTCTCCTTCTTTTCTTCGGTGCCCTCAGGTGCTAAATCTTTCTCACCTTCCCTGTCTGGGATAGATGAGAAATCTGAATTGTATGACTGGTTATCAACTGGTAAATCGGGGCTCCATGGCTTCTTCATATTTTCTGGGATGGGAAAAAACATAAGAGAGAAAATTGATGAGTAATACAAAATAATACACACAAGATAGCTATAATCTGCAAACCACTAAAAGGCAGAAAATATTTTTTTGCATTTTATATTACAACACTATATTTCCACTCACATATTTTGCTTTCTGTACATGTTTTTTAGTTCTGCTATGTAACTTAACTTCACAGCCACGTGCCCAAAGCTGAGCCCATCAGGCATGGGTGTGGCCCCTCTGTGATAAATTATTTAAGAAAGGCTAAGAACACGGTGCAGCAGCTGAAAAAATGTGACAGAAACAGCCCTGCAGCCAGTGGAAAAAAAAGGGGGAGGAGGTACAATTAACAGAAGAAAAAATACCCTCCCTTGTATATTAGTTCAGTAAGCTTAAATGCACAGACCTCACCCTTGAGTTTATTATTTAGCAACCCCAGTCACCTCCTCTCCACTTCCTATGAATGCTTTCAAGCACAAATCTAATAATTTCATAATTTTTCTCATTTAAAGTAGTTCAAAGACAAATAAACATGTTCTATTAGTTTCTTATCTTAGCCTCCCAGGGTTATAATTGAAGGATAGTTAACTTAGATTCAGCTAATACCAGACAGTAACGACTACAGAAATGAGAAGATAATCCCATCTGCAGAACTTCAAGTGAAACCAATGTAAACAAGAGCTTCTGTGATTAAAAGTGAGCAGAAATGGCACAGGGGAAGGAATGCTCTGCACACTGCAAACCTAATTTACTATTCGAGGAGTGCAAAATGTTATACCAACTTAGCATTTTGATGAGACCTTTCTATACCATATAAATGTTTAAAGTGCTTGTTCTCCTAGACTTAGTGAATAAATGAAGGTCTAGACGAAGAATCTAATCTACACTTCGAGTGAAAAAATTACTGCAGCCTTAAATAGGATGATACTATTTGGTGTCTAACTGACAAATCAGTCAACCTAGAAACAAAAAAGATTATTAAAGCAATGCAAGAAAATGGGCTACAGATGTCTTTTAAATACCAGATCCAGACAAGGTTCAGCATAAAAAAACGAGTCTAAACAAACCTTCAGATTTGGGTCTGATAACACCAAAATACTGCAAATCATTCTTCAGATAGCTTCAAATGTTTTAAATTTCATCAACTAAACTTTTTGCCAGACCTTCCAAGGATTTAAAGACACTTATTGCTTTCTGATCAAGTCATAAAGACGACTTTATCTAAAGATTCAAATATAAAATCTTTCAATGCTCAAATCAGTTTCAATTTCAGTTTTCTGATTTGTTTGCTATCTAATTAACATTGTGCTCTTTTATGCTAACTAAAGCCCATTTCATTTAAGAAAGTACAGACACAGGTCTGAGAGGAGCTCTGCATTTGCTGTAGATTAAAACTCACTCCACTAGTTCTGTCAGTATTATTTCAGCTTTTGTGTATAATCAACTCTTATCTAGGATTGTAGCTGTTGAAAGCAAGCGGCGAGAAAGCAGGCTAAATAATTCTTTCCAAAGCAAAATTAAAGAGGAAAAGAAAATCAACATAAAAGTAGTTATTTATTAAAAGCAAGGTTATTATACCAACAGTGATGACAAGAACTTTTACAGACAAATCAAAACTGTCCCCTATGAGACTGTGGAAGCTTAGCAGAAAACCTGAGTTTTTTCAATAGCAGATCTATAACATATTTTTCCTAATGGAAGGAGGAGGTTTCTCCCGAGGAAGTATCATCAGTCTACCAACCTCTCAGCCTTCTGGAGTTTGCTGGGGATACTGTTCACGCCAAAGATTCATCTGTCTAAAATATTTTTAAATTAATAAATTCAGTCTTTAATCAAAGCAGTACAAGAATTAAAATGCTAACACAATAGCACTAGTTTTACTGAATTGCTCTAGATGACAGTAACTTTTCAGTAATCCCAGTTTATATACATGCTGTACATTAATATATATAATCTTTTGCATTGAAAGCATTCCCCACTAGAGAGCAGTATGAATTAAAAATTACAATATATCTCTAGACCTATAGTGCTAACCATATAGACATGAGATTACTGTAATAAAACAGATTTTCCAACCAAGACATAAAACTTTGTAAGCAAATATAATCTAGTAAAGTAAACACTGTACACTATCTGCACATATGTCTAATTCCCTTTGAAACGTTTACACGGATAGGCTGGGAGCTTAATAAAGTGAATTATCATGTTATTACATCCCTCTAATATTCCAGTCAACACAGCCTAATCCATGAGAATCTTATTTTTGGCATATAGCATCTGTCTTGCATTCTAATCTCATTCCAGAAAACAAATCACAAAATGCACACTTGACAAAGGCACAATAAAATGATAACAGAAATTCTACTGTGGAAAAAAGTGATTTGAGCATCTACCACGTGCTTTCATTAGAAAGCTGTGATGGCATTAAAGCTGCAAAACTGAGTCTAGGTAACAATTAGGAAAACAGAAGTTTTGGAAATACATTTTATACTACAGTCCATTTCCTTTACAGATATACAGTGATTTCTGAATATATGACGGAACTGCTAAAGGACTAAGGTGAAATATTACACACCTGTGCAAACCACTTGCTGTAAATTTAGCATTACACAGCAGTAATCAGTATCTTGATTGGACACAAATTGATTGGTTTGAGAAAAAAAAATTCCAAACATGAAGACAAAAAAAATTTGTAAAAACAGAAATAGTTTAGGATTAAAACATCCTGAGTAATTTTTACAATATTTCTTAATGGACAAGTACATAAAGATATCAAGGGATAAAAAAGGGGGAGATATCTGAGTATAATTTGCTGACATACTTTTAAAATACAATTTAGCACTCCAACTATTATTTTTAAAGAAATGTGGGAAAAAATAAATCAAATTCATAAAATCTTCTAAAGATCCACCACTGTTTAAACCAACATGGATGCAGTCTGCTTCACGAGAGCAGCAGGTGTTCAGCTCATGCATGCATCATTGCATACTTCTGTTTTCTGGAATGAAATGTTTAGGCGGCAATTTTGATTGATGAAGACAAGGAAAAAAATGCTTAGTTTATCCTACTGGAAAATTGCACTGAATATGTTTAAAAGAAAACATTATAATCTTCATTTGAAAAGCAATTTTTAATTGCTGTCAGTGTCTTATTGGTTTGATCCTACCTGAAAATAGATAGGCTTTACACGAAAACCCTCTTTCCCTGCCATCGTATTATAGAGTTCATCTTGACTGTACTGGCTATGTATCTTTTAAAATCATAAGTTTTGCAGATAACCTTTTTCCCCCCCTAAAAGAAACATAGCTTCTCAATTTTAGGGGCCCTAATGAAGCCTGCAGTAAACTAGAAATGTGACCAAGATATCAAAATTCCAAGCCAATTTAAATAGCACTCTAGATAAATGCCTACATTTATTTTCCCTGGGGCTCTGAACTCAATTTTGGCTCAATGTTGCTTACCAGTAAAATGAACTTTGCACGACATTATAGCTTTGTGAAGTAGAAAACTGTCCCATGTGGAAAACCAACACAGCTATAATTTGTGATGTTTGCTGGCTTAGATAACAAAGCTACTGCCTGGGGATTTCTCTTCTTAAATGTGCTTGAATGTAAGGGATTAGAAATCACATCCTTCCCATGAAACAATCCTTACCTTTTTAGCTGCAAACCAATGGCATGCTTTCTATTCAAGAGTATTGAAAGGAAAATTTGCTCATTTGTATTACAACTAATTGTTCTGTTACCAAACTATCTTACCATCATAGAACTATACCAGTCACACCAGTGACTTTGACTCTGTGTACGTAATACTCAAATGTGTTGGGTACATTCAGGAGGCCAACAGAGGATATGAATCCCAGAGTAAGAGACCACAATGTACTTAAGTCAGCTGCACTGAATGCAGACCTCTTGTCATGGATGAATGACCCAGTTCAGCTTGGAGAAGAGAAGGCTTCAGGGAAACCTTGGAGAAAACTTCCAGTACCTGAAGGGGGGGTTACAAGGAGGCTCAAGAGGGACTTTTCACAAGAGCCTGTAGTGACAGGAAAGGGAGGAATGGCCTTAAACTGAAGTAGCATACTTTTAACTTAGATATTGGGGAAGATTTCCTTATTATAAGTGTGGTGAGGCACTGGAACAGGTTGCCCAGAAAGACTGTGGACTCCCCATCCCTGGAGACGTTCAAGGCCAGGCTGGTTGGCGCTTTGCTTAACTTGGTCTAATGAAAGGTTTCCTGCCTTTGGCAGGAGGGTTGCAACTAGGTGATCTTTAGGATTCCTTCCAACCCAAATCTTCCTATGATTCTGCAGATCTTAAAGAATATCTCCTTGTCTACTTCCCAACAGGCTGCTACAACAAATACATTCCTGTACAAGATGAAGAATAGAAAATATGGACAGGGTATTAAGGACAAAAGTTCACTAATTACAATATTCAGGAATTTTTAATATTTCTTTTCAAAACTGTGAAAAACATTTAAGTAGCAATCACCAAAGATGCAGATGTTTGCATTTCAGCTACTCATCCCTAGACTCTGCAATTACTGCAGAGTCACCAAGAAGGCCTATGGAGAGTCATCTCACTACGACACAGACTAAATCATAAACTCGAGTGTTTTTTCTCAGGAACATGTATTCCTCTTCCTTTGCAGATATCTGTACTGTAGATGTAAAGTTAGACAGGATGAATCTTGCTCTGCCTGTCATAATAGCTCTCCAAACGTTAAAAGGACTGAATTTTGCAGGTAATAATGATAATACTCAGTTTTGAGATATCAGCTGATAACAACAGATATCAGCTGCTTTGAAGAAAATGCTGTTAGTGCAATGTTTAAAAAAGAAAAAGAAAAAAAAAGAGAAAAAGAAAGAAAGATTGATCACTTATCAACATCCTCTCTCCAATCATCATCTAGTCAGTTTTCACATATTAGGGGAATGTTACTGGCATGCTACACAAAAAAGCACCTCTGGTAATAACTGGACTCTTCATATCTTTTCAA